AAGACCTAATGCAACTGTAATTAGTGGTAAAATTATTCATTGGTTAGACGAGATAACACAAGATAATAATAACGAAAGCAAAAAACAAATCTTAGAAGCCGATAAAGTCAAACCAGAATTAATCGAACCAAAACATCCGAATCAAATATACACTAGAAAATCAATAGATTCTAATCAAATCTCTGAAGGATTACGTATCTAAATTACTGATCTCCTGATGACAATTTCTCAATTTATTAATTTATTTCTGTACGTACGTTATTTTACAATAGATACAGTTATAAAATTTAAAACCATTATTCTTTTATGATGAATTTTTAGCGAGCTTATTAGTTTCATAAAAGTTTATTTGGTTATTTAACGAACTTTTTTAAAGAATTATTTATGAATAAATATATTTATTAAATGATAATTTATCTAGTAAGTTTAAAATTAATACGGTATTACAAAATAAAAGTGAATGGCATTGAAAATTTATTAAAAGAATATTTTTAACAGATAATTGTACAATAATATTTTTTTATTTGGATATAGTATTACGAAGGGGTTTTTTTAATGAAATTTGAGTTTTTAATTGCATTAAAATCGGCTTAGACCATTTTTGAATCGGTAAAAGGTAAAGAATGAGCAAGTTGATTAATAAATGTGATTGACGTAGAAACAAAATTTTTTCCAACCCATTTTCTTAAACCTTCACTTTTGTGGTCATTAAGTTACGATTTGTGCGATATTAACTATAAGGATGAAATTCGAAAACTTGATATTTTTATTATTAACCAATGAAAGTACAAAAAAAAAAAAAGGGGATCTAAAAAAACTAAGGTCGACTTCTTCATATTTCGCTATAATGTATATTGTGATATTTTTTTTAGACTTATCAGAATAGTATGTAATTCTATTAGATTTATTAGTATAAGTATGAGCTAATATTACAAATAAAACAAAAGAAGTCGCGAAATAAAATCAATAATTAATAGTAATAAAAATTAAAATTAAAATAATGAAAATCATATATAAAAATATCATAGTAACATGCGAAGCGAAGGGTGCTGTTTTTTCAATAACTGATTGTTTTATGCAAAAAAAAATCTATTCATTTTCAATTTTTTGTGCTTTACTTATCAAATCAGGGTCAGATTTTCCTTCTTTTATAATTTGCAAAATATCTTCTGTACCTTTTATTGAGTAAGTCGTGTGTTCATTTATCGAACATTTGTTTAATAAAGGTATTTCAACTTTTTTTCCTAAATTACTAAGGAAATAATATAAGATAGGAGCGCTTTTATTGTAAACAGGAGGTCTGTTCTTAACATAATCTGCA